CAGCCAGGCCATACGAATAAAACGGATTTGCTCCACCAACGATACTGTAAAAAGACGACTACAAGAACTTCGCAGTCACCCAAAACATCGGGACTACAAAAGAAAAGACATTGATAAAGGCTCTCTCATACAAACAACATCAGCCGAGATGAACTTGTATGTGCCTTTTGTGTTGACTAACCATCCCAAATTTGACAATTTATCACACCTAATCCGCGAAAATTGGAAAGAAATAAAAAAACATCCTAAATTATCCAAGATCTTTCCCGAGCCACTTGTACTGGCTTTCCGTAGGCACAAAAGCCTTAAAGACTTGCTGATGAGAGCTGATTTATTCTCTAAAGCAGGCTCTTCGTCTGTGGGCTCTTGTAAGGGTTGTGGAAACAAACGATGTCTGACTTGCAAACAAATACTGAATACCCAGACTTTTAACAGTCACTACAAATATGCAGAATACACCATATATTGCAATGTTAATTGGAAGACAACAAATGCTGTGTTTCTCTATAGTGTAAATGTGGTAAACAGTATGTTGGCGAGTCAGAACAGCCACTTCACAAACGAATGAACGGCCATCGTAGCGACTACCAATGCAAGCCAGACCTTCCTCTCGATCGACATTTGAGATACACTGGCCACACTAAGGCAGATCTATATTGACCGACCATTACAATCATTGACCACAACACAGCTTTGTCTAGGGATGATAGACTCACTCGGGAAAAATTTTGGATAAGAAAATTAAAAACGTTGGCACAAAATGGGATAAATGAAAAGATGTAGGTCGAATTCGCGCAGTGGTTTACATTTGGCTTATAATACTTTTTTACTACAGTCTCTGTATCTATTTCTTTACCTTACTCAACTATAAAATTTGTTGTAATTATACCAGTTTAAATTGCTTGGTTCTATTCATTTTGGAGGGATGTAAAAGTACCTAGTCACGTTCAACTATTTAACCGTAGTCAAAATTGATTATTATATTTTTTAAACTGCTATGTATTTGGGAAGTTTAAATACGCAGCCTCTGTTTTAATTACTCTACCGTTGTCAAATTTGAAATTTTTACGAACTTAGATCGGTCAGTGCTGTTTATTTTGAATGTATATTGACGCAATCGTTCTTGTAACATCGTAACTGTCGTCGCCTTTTAGATTTTAGAGCTGTGCCAGTTCATATCGCACATTACTATTTTTATTTGAAGCATATATTTGCATATGATTAATTTTACATCATGGTCATACTGATGAAGGATATCTGTTATCCGAAATATTTATAAATAATTACATTTATAGTTTCCTTTTTTTTTTGTTATTGGTGTTGTTTTGTATACTTTGTAGGCGTTTATATATATACATATATATATATATTTATTTATTATTGTACTAATCATGAACTGAAACTGATCCTCCACGTGTTACCATATAGTGTAGACACTGATGAACAAAGACTGTATTGGATTAATTACAAGGGTGACATGAAATCAGCTAAAGATGATGGCTCTGATGTTAAAACAATACTTTCAACAAATGTTAGAAGAACCTACTATGCTATCGGTGTCTTTGGTAGTTACATATACTATGGTAATGAGAACAATCAGTTGTTAATGGTGCATACAACATCAGGATCCACGCCGACTGTTTTATATAGCGCTACAAATGAGATTGACAGTATATGTGTGTTTAATCAATCAGGTAATATGTTAACAACCATCTATAATCACGAATAGCGATAACATACGTCATAAATTTGAAACATGTCTTTGCAATAGCATATTAAATCGTTATGCATAAAAGCTTAGACATATTAGAATGATAGTTTTTTGCTTAAGTATTTCATCAACTATTCGACATTTGTGGATGAATACTAACAATGTAATTGGAATTAATGCGATAGACACGAAAATCGTATACATATAAAATACTGACATTTTTTTCCCCCAATAACTGAAACATGGTCGTGAAAAGAAAATCAGTGTTCATTTTCAAATGCACATTCTGATTAAATTTCATTAATTAGAACAGCACGAATGATTTATTTTTGTGAATGATTGGATGATTTCTTACTGAAATTGGTAACAAAATGTCAAGGGAAGCTTGAAACAAGATATAGAAAACTATTTGAAAGAACAAATCCGTTTGCATTCAGTAAAAAACTAAATAACCAGTAATAATAACTAGTATTAAATTTAAATAAGTTATAAAATTACATTTTGTTTGCATATGTTTAAAGACTGCTTATGATGTATTAGTTTCCTACTTGTGCTAACAATGTATATCGTTTACTTATAACTGCTTTTTGCTACTAAATTTTTCATAATCAGCGTTTTCTTAGTATACACATAATTTGTTATATGATTTACTGAATGTGCATACGTTGTTTCGTCCTAACGTTGGCTTCAATGCGCTCTATGCAAATTGCTTATGTAATGTTTTTATTATGAAAGTTAAAGATACATTTGTATTTTATATTGTTATATCATCTTCACCGATACAATGTATTAATATTGATATGTTTTGTTCTTTAAAAAATCTGGGGCGAAAGATTCCAGAGGGACATTCAAACTCATAGATCGAAAATAAACTGACAACTCCATGGCTTAAAAAGAAAAAGACAGACAAACAATAGTATACTAAACACACCATAGAACACTAAAGACTAAGCAACACAAACCACACCAAAAACTGGAGGTGATCTCAGGTGTACCGAAAGGGTAAGCAGATCCTGCTCTATATGTGGTACCGGTCGTATTGCTCGTTTTAATAACTTCTTAGTTGTTTTCAATCTCGTCCATTTGTATACAGTTTTTGACAATTTCATAGAATAATGTGATGTTTCTGTTATCATTGTTACCATTATAACTTTTGACATTATTTATTATAATCACGTAACTTTAATTTTTTACGACTGAAATTGTTATTTATGAAATTGTACGGCACAGACAAGATGTAAGTAATATTAACTTAAGTTTTTTTAATTTTAATTAAATCAGTATACTACTTTGCCCTATTAACATATAAATCAAAATTGTGGAGTCATTGTCAACTGTGAAAACTTGGCTCTGTTTTTTTTTTCTTTTAACTGATTAAACTCGTTTTTTTAATCATGTTAATCTTAATTAAAGGATAAATTACTTTGCCCTCTTAGTAAAAAAAACATATGGTATCATTGTTTACAGAGACAACTCTTCATTTTTTTCTTTATTGAATAGTGTTATCATGATTATAATCAAAACACATGATTTCTTTTCATCTTTATACAAATGGACATTTGTCCTGTCGAACTTGCTAAAACAAATAGAAAAAAAAAACTTTTGTCGGTCAATTTATATTGTTAAAGAAGGAAGAAAGATTAGAAAACACATGATTTATGACGTATTTAATCAGCTGTGATAAATATACGATATCAATATCATGACGCACGTTTTTTTCAAGCGTAAAAACTTATAATTAAAGACCAATCAACACTATAAAACTTAACACACACTTTTGACTAAAAAAATGGAGACATTAAAGTCATGACACCCGGAAATATTTTGAAATCCGCTTCAGTGGAAGTCCATCTAATTTTCTACATATAGTGCTGCTTCGAGAAAAATCGCATCGTGTACACACGATAATTGGGCATCGTTTGGTTATTCGAATGAGATGTCGTATCGCGTGAACAGAACGATGAGCGATTTACCGTGGCGACATCATCGTTAAAACACGAAGTTTAATTAGGTAATTTTATTCCAATCCTTTTGTCTCCTTTAAGTTGTAAATAATTTGGGATTTTAAACTGACGAGGTGAGCAATCATTTCACTTTTCAATCTTTCCGTATTTACATCAATTCGGGTAATCAACATTTGAGAAAATTAGAATTACGTGATCAATTTGGGTCTTATTCTGCCTCAAACTATCTATTAGGTATTATTTTACTATTTTTTTTACCATTACACAATTTTAAGAATTCTTATACTTTTTTGAGTTGCAGTGCGAATTGAATTTTTCATTACAGCCACTTTTCTTAAATTGTAAGACGGCAGGATTTTATAGATAGAGTAGTAATGTCTTCAAAATTGTCGGTTATTTACCATATCAACATATGTAGATGTGGTATGGTTACCAATGACACAATTCTCTAGCAGAAACCAAATGACTAGTAGTAAACAAATTTTTGATCACCGTACGACAATCAACAATGAGCTAAACCCATATCACATAGTAGGCTATACAAAGCTCCGAAATGACAAATTTAAAATAAATCAAACAAGAAAACTAACGATATGATCTATATACAAAAAGAAAATAAACGAACAAAAAAATGATCTACATTATCAAACGACAATTACCGCATTGCATGCTCATTACTTGGGACCAACACATTTAGAATGTGACAGAGTAAGACATGCACATTGTTCAAATCGTAAACGACTGCGTAGTATTGCATATCAGAAAAGATTATTAAAAGTGGCTAAACATGAATCAACTCGTCAAATCGTTACCATGTTTGTTGTGTTTGTATTGTCATTTTGTTATAAACTATAGTGCAATGTCAGTGTTTTTTTATGCGGATAGTTGTTGGTTTTGACTTTCTTTTAGTAATCTTGTCGAAATTTAAACGGAGTTTGTACGTTAACGTTCGAATTGATTATCACATGGATATATTGTAAAAAAAAACACCCGCTTATTGTCAACATATTGTGTTTTTGTGTACTTGTGTTGACGTCAAATTGATGATTGTTTCCTATTTAAATTTATAGAACGTCGTTTGCCCTAAACTTAGCCGAGCATCATTTAGAATATATACATCGGAATAAAAAAGGACCATTGTGTTTTAATACAAAAACAACAAAAACTGCACAAACAAATAATCATCATTAATGACAATGTATATAATTGTATTACATAGGTAAACATTGAATATTTGGCATTTGTACATCTACCCGCAACATGATTTTGTTCTGAATCACAGTTGAACAATATAACTGAGCATTTTTTTTAAAAAGTTAGAGAAATTTAATTTTGTATTACTGATAAGTGTTGCTCGCATGGCTAATATGACCACGCGTACCTACAATTATACCATATATCATCTTTTAAATCGGTTATTGTATACAATGACAAACATTAAAACATACAGCATTGGAACTTAAATACATTATTGTTCTATTCAATTCCGCGTACTTGCAATACTTTACTCGGCATGAACACATACGAGCCACCTGTACGCATTTTGTGTAAATGATATTAGTAACACTACTTCGATACATTCGATATAGGTTCATGAATATTTTTCATTCCTTCAACTACGTGTCGACAGTTTGTCGTGCAAATTGCAGTAGGACATAGTTAAGTCTAAGAATATGTTATAGTAGGAATCCGTATCTTTTTGTTTTAATGAACTAACTTTAACTTTTACACGAGATTCAACACATCAATACCCAAACTAGGTGTTTATTTCTTAAATTACACATTAAAGTTTTGGTATTTCTCAGTTATCATTAATCTGAATGAAGATTCCTCATTTGCCTATTCATGTACAGATAATAATACTTTGAAAAAACGCAGTAACAAACTGCAGTCATTTAATACAGATCATCCAAACATGAATTTTTTGCAATATGCATGATATATATATAAGACATGCATGTGTTCTAATTATAATAGATATTTATCTCATTAATTTACAGATTGAACAAAAGTGCTATATTCTAATTGTCAAACCAAACAGAAATTTTAGATCGATAGGTAAACATAATGTGTTGATTTGATTATTTTGACATATCGTTCATATACAGCTGAATATCCGGTGGCTGTATTATTTATAACATTTATAAAAGACATTTGCACATGACACTATTTGCCTGTGATATTTTAAGTGCATATATATACATCGGTTTATATATTGGTAATTTTCCCGATAGTATATTACTCGTTATGAAAATTATGAAATCGGAAAATGTACCTCTCTACATTGTTTTTAAAACTAAAATATAAAAACTGTATTGATGTTAATCAAATTATGTTAGAAATGTTCAGATCAATGCATTAAATATTTTAAATAAAACTATGCATTTCTCTGTATATACTTTGTTTTAAATGATTATTATTAAATTTTAGGGTGATTTAGTATACTGTATAAATATTGATAATGTTTGCCGACATCAATCTATCGAAACAGTGTCAAAACGTTGTCAAAATACATGGTAGGTTGATCTCATTACATGTTTATTAATTGTAAGCATGGTATCAGCTCCGATTCATTCATATTGTACTATTTAAAAGCATACCATTATGCCTTCTTGTATTAAGTGGATTGCATCTCTATATCAATCAGTATTTTTTGAGAGAAACAAAAAATCATCAGAAAGTTACCGTAAAATAGTTACATTTATTTTTTTTGGTATTATCTTTGTATATTTATCCCTGTTTTCTTGAATCGTGTATTTCCCCCGAGTGTTAAATCATACAAACTTCCAGACATACAACACATTAATAATTTGTTAAATGCAATTTTAAATCAATGAAATTGAAAAAGAAAAACAAATATTATGATTGCAACACATTTTGAAAAATCGCAATACTGTTTTGTATTTGTAATTATATGTATACCCCTTTTTTGCGAAATATTACATGATGGTTACACATGATATCTAGTCTTACTGAAATGCGTTTATATATTTATACGTGCATGTAATTATATAAAATTTCATAGGCATCATCAAATCCGAATATCATGTATACTTCTCCTTTAGAGTTTTGATATTATTGATAAGTAAAATAATGTTTGTTGTTAAACTTATTTCAGGTCTTAGAGAAATAACGTTTGTACTTATACAATGATTGCATTGACAAATAATTGTGTGATGTACAATATTACATTTCCTGGTTTATTTACGAGATTTTAACATCGATAAACTACTGTCGCTTCAAATCATCATACAATGGTTACAATTTCTACTTTTTCCGAGGATTTCCTACCAGCTAGCTCATGTGCATACCATATACAAGAAGAAGAACATATACATTTATTCTCACGTCGTCAAAGATAATATGGTGGCAGTTGGATTTTGTCAATTACACATCAACCGGAAATAAATAGATGACCAGGGCTCATTTTGAAATATTTCATAAAACCAATTCTGTTTTCATTTTCGAATTCCTCTTTGTGAACAAGTTTATGTATATTAGGTCATATAATGTACCACTTACTTATAAATTAGATCCCGGCAATTTTTAGTAATTTTAAAAACCTGCACAAACTAATTTTAGAAATAGCAAATAAACGGATTGTCAATTCAGTTAAATATTCAATAAAATTATCATGTTATTTCGGATGAAGTAGTATTGTCACTTAGAACTCAATAGTAAAATCGTTTATATTATCCTGGTCGTTTTTAAACTTCTAATTAACACACACTAATGTTGATAACGTTGAAGTACATTTGTATACTAAAAGGAGATATGTTTTTGGATGTACACATTTTCAATAGCTTTTTTCTATCTAAATCACGATGAAAATAAATTTTATTTCCATTCAATGATATCAAATCTCCTTATCCAAGTTTATTTCAAACTACGATAATTTCTAAATGATTGACAAAAATTGTTGCGGGAAATTAATTTGAGTTAAACATATCGTGGAAGATCATTGCATACAAAGACTATCAATGTCAAGTGTTAGTAACCTATAATAAACTACTTATTCAAAAGTCAATTGAGGGTTTTAAATTCTCTGATTCAAATTGTAATCTTGTTATTCAACCACAAATATTTCATCGATAACATACCATGTTCGTCATCTTAAATACTGTTTCTTTTGGTTGAAAAAGAAAGATATATTCTTAATACACTACACTTTTACGGCCAATTGGGAAGACACATTATCATGATAATATGTTACTGCACCTGCATACAGATAGTATAATATGTCTACCGCCGGTTTTTTTACAGGGGTATGCATGATTAAGGATGTATTCTTCTGACATTTCAGTCTCGTTTAAATATTATTCTGGAATAATTTCCAAAACGTGTTATACAAATGGAAAATATCAATGAATTTAAATAATATCATAATCCGGCTTAATTCTGTAAAAAAAAATGTGTATTTCCAATAAGTAGTTGTTTCGAAATAAAATTTCAAATTTTATAACCAATCAAGTCAGTTTCATTAGCCAAAATATTGCGAAAATGGATGAGGGGTACAAGAAATGATTGTACCAGATACATGAACATCCCATATTATTTTTTTTTTTCAAATTTCTTAAATATGTATTTTTACAATCATTTAAAACAAAAAAGTTGAAATAATATGCTTTTTGTTACAAAAAAAAAAGAGAAATCCCAAATTTACAAATTTGACAACATGGTAAATTTGCCAAAAAAAAGCATCAAATTTTATAAAATTTTCTTATATCAATACCTACCTATAGTTTGTTTAAGTTAAATCTATTCAGATTGGTCCAACTCATCTTGTGTGAAAGTATGAAAAAAAGTTTAATTGTGAAACTGTATTTTTTTTTCATGATAATAGCCTAAAATGAGAAAAAAATTGATGAAAAATGGGAAAATCATCAAAAATGGGTACTTTCAACTGGCTTTGCAAAAAAAGAAGTGCTCCAGCATATGATTTTTTCTTCAACAACATTTTTTTTTACAGTCTTACAAACCCCAAAAAATCAGGTTAAGAAAAACAGATTAATTCTAGAAATTGTTGACTCCTCAGAGGTGTACATCCTTAAATGCGTAATCGTAAGGTTTATGCATTCGTCTTATAAACACCCATTCAATAAGTTTTTACAGGTTTGAAATAATTTTATTGCATAATGTTTTTCTCGAAAAAGTTCGAATTTGACTCTGTTTTTATATATATTTTTTTTATATTTGATTCGAATGTAACTATTTCATAATTCATACGTTTTAAGTTCCATTTCATCTCAATAAATCATATTTCAGCTGATGTGAGAGGATAAGTTGTATGACTGTCAATCAGAGCCCGGTTGTTCAACTTGTCGTTAACTTAACGTAAGCCTTAAACTTAACGTGTCGTTAAATACTCTAACGTGTCGTTACTTAACCCATGGTTACAATGGTGTTGTTCAACTTGGTTTAACGCCGTCGTTAGTTAACGATGACGTTAAATATGTTAACCACTCGTTAAATATTTAACTAAAGTTTAGAAAATATTTTGGTACCCACAATGCATTGGTTTGTTAATATTTATTTCAACATGGCTGACATTTCTTCTGCTAAAAAACAAAGGTACAGAAAACCTAACTTTACTCAAGAAGAAGTAAATGTTATACAAGATCAAGTACAAACAATTTACAAAGTGTTAAATGAAAAGTTTGGGGATGGAGTTACCAATTCTAGAAAGACTGCTGTCTGGAGCAGGATTTCTATCTTGGTCAGTGCTCTGGGTGTTGCCAACAGGTCTACCAAAGACTGTAAAGACAAGTGAGCTAACACCAAGAAGGAGGCTAAAAGGGTGTTTAGCAAACTGAACAAAGAGCAGAGGGCTACTGGTGGTGGTCCACAGCCAAAACAAATGAGTCTGGCCATAGATAGGACAATAGACCTTTGCAAAAACTCAGCTTCTTTCAAAGGTCTTGAAGGAATTGAAAGTGTACTTGGTATGTATCAGTAACTAATTCATACTCTTTTGTGAATATATAACAATAATAAATCTTAAAATGCTATTCGTGATTCTCTCCGATTTCATGTAACTTTTTGTTGATAAAACAAATCGGCGATTATTTATAGCATGTCATCCAAAATTGACAGGTAGTTAGCTGATTTATTGATCCTTAATCATGTGTTAACTTAGTATTTAATTGGCATTCGGCTATATTCAGTTTTACTCAGTGAATAGTAAGTTATTTTAATTCATGTTGTCAATTATTTATGTCGTCTGCATTTACATATTTACGTCCTAAACATTAACCGTGAAAGACGCTCAGCATGCTAATGAACATATTAGGTTTTGAACCTTATTACCTCATGACACACTTTCTTCTAACGATGGTTGATTTTAAATATTGTCATTTGACAATGTTGTGATGATGGTTTGGGACAATACTTGTTCAGGTCAAATTTTCGTTTATCCATGAAAGAACCTGCTTGCTGTTATATCCCTTTGATTGGTAGCCGACAGGACTATGTCTCTCGGACCCTGGTTAACCCGTACATTAAATTCGATCGTGGAATACGCTCGTAAAGGCCTAGACTAAAACAATTTTATTAATCATCTTTTGATGATCGTTCAAGATTTTGAAAATAAATATATATATAGATTGTGGGATATGAGTGAACAATTGATGTTGATAGAAAAGGGGAGGGGTCTACAGAAAGGTATACACAGAAGTGCCACTGGAATAGGTCCTTTTTATTATGTCAAATATACCAAGGGGATGCAATTTCAATAGTGTAAAATGTAGATGGGCCAATAATTGTCATTTTACAATTAGCAATATATATATAGCCAGTAAGTGAGATTGTGAGTTTTAATCCAGCACGGGGCAGGTGCACTCCAATCCAATGATAATTGACTAAGGATTGGAAATGTCCCTACCTAATGTCGGGTGTTTACTCCAGCTTCATCTACCAATACAAATTGACTTCCACGAAATAGCACCAATCCATTAATCCATCAAAACCAATAGATTTACTAGCAAATTGTTTTAAATGGTGCAATACTGCCTTATAATTGGACAGAAGTTTGTCTTCTGATATAGTTCTGTTACTAGCCATCTCATTTTGGTTGTCATTGATGCATATGGTTTGTAAGGCTAGGTCAATGAAAGCAAAGAAAGAATGGATAAACAAAAAACCTCTTTAAGTAAGAAAATTTAACAATAGACACACATGACCTCCATTCATGATAATTTATAACAACCACCTTATTATATTTTCTAGTTGTCAACTCAGCTGCATTGCCAGAGGAGAGTGCAACAAATTCCCAGGACCTGTTTGATACATCTCCAAGGCACTTACTTTCCCTATCTAGATTTGATTCCATTCATCAGTCATTACCACTTCTAACACTACTACCAGCTGTAAATATCCAAGTGCAATGCCCAGAAGCTGCAGTAGTTGAGCTGGGGACTCTAACAACACAGAAAGCAGTAGATTCAAAGAAGAGGAAAGCAACTGCTTATGATGTTTATGAGCTAAAGGTAAAATTTCACAATTGCATTTATTTTAGAAATAATCCAGAATAGTTTAGAAACGATTGACATACCATTGTCTTATAATGAATGACTCGGTGGTAGGTTCAAGACTGTCATAACTCGGAAAAATGAAAAGGTAAAAATCAATTATCAACACTAAGAAAAATTAACCTTTCGGGTCCCCATCGATTGGTTTGTATCTATAGGCAATGATGTGAGACCGTAAATTGATCTTAAATTACACTTACTCAACATTTCATTTTCAAATGTTGCAATTTTCATCTTTATGAAAATCTTCCAATATAAATAATTTAAATTGATGGTCTTCCAGCCCCTGGACAAAGCATATGTCCAACAGGTCATACACTATATCTGGAACTCTCAATTTCATGCAATACTTCTGTAAATTCCACAAGAGTTGTACGGTATACAGACACATATAACGATATACCGGTATGCTAAAAATATATAGATCTACATGTATCATTTTCATTTCAGATACTGTATTTGAAGGGAGAAATGGCAAAGCAGACTAAAGAGATGAGGAAATTAGATCTTCAGATAGAGTTGCTGGAAGAAATGAAACGAGACAAAGAGAATACTCAACTAACATTATCTCAACTTTTAATGAATTAAATTATTTATTTTTCTTATCAATCAACAATTATTTGCCAGAAAAAAATGCCTGTGTACGGTACCAAGTCACAAATGATGTTTAGGATGTCTTCGTTCAATAATATTTTGCATTTTTTTGATTTTGATATATATATATATATATATATATATATATATATATCCATTCTCAATTTTATATAATATTAAAATATACTTTTTCAGTTTTTTGGTCTTTTGGAAAATGTTGTTAGTGCTGTATTTAGACCCCTCTAACCAGACATTTGTTTTTGCATGCACACGTATAAAAATTGCGGTTTTTATCCAACGCAATCATAGGTTTGAACGTTGTTTTCAATTTAGACTTGTATATATATATACCACTTTTGAGTCTCTTTGTGTTATTTTTTGGTGTATTCGAGACAATTGAATTTTACAATTTGTATGTTATGTTTTTTGTTTTTTTAATTCTGGCTTTGCATTTATTGGAAATGTTTATATTTTGGCACTGTGTTTTGACCTTTGATTTGATCACTCTATTTGTATAAGTGCCATTCATTTTCATTGTTTGCTTTTACATCCAGTGGCAAAAATTTCATGCATGTTCATGATGAGAACAAATGAACAAAGAGTACAATAGGTATGATCAGACCCCTCACAGGTTTTTGTAAGGGCTCTTATAATATGCATAGCGTTACACTATTACCACACAATGCAATCAGATTTTACATCCCCTTTCCAACCGGATGAGCCGGCGTATTTACCAACACACAGTCTTTGAAAGACCCACTTTGCGGCAAGGGTTTTACTGATTGGACGAACAAAGTCAAAAGGATGACCTTAAATCTACACCTTAATCAATCCTTAGTGTAAGATATCATTCAGAGTAGAATTAACAAGTAGATGATGTTTAAAAAAGATGTTGACGACGGACACCTAGTGGTGCCAACAGCTCACATTACCGTAAGTGTCATATTAACTCATAATTTGCTTTCAATTCAACATGTCGAATGCATGTGTTTTGAGAAAACATAACTTGTATTATTTATCACAATTTTTATATTGGATGAAGAATAAAGACTCTTTTGTTTTCAAAACATGTATTTCATTTGAAGAAAAATCTAGCGATATGCTCTCTAATGTGTGTACCATCCTGTTCTCTTTCAAAATGCGGAACTTGCACTTGCTGGTCTTGCTGAACATGTACACCACAAAAATCATCCAAAGGTTCATTCCTTGTTAAAGCGATGTTATGTAGAACAGCACAAGCACCAAAGACTCGACAGACTCTTTCTGGTTTCATTCTGACCTGACATTTAAAAACATAATTATGGGCATGAAGAGTTAATTTTTAATTCGGATATCTTTCACTTGGAAAAAAAATACTGTTTCGGAAGTGTATTCTCTTCTACAATTGTCTCCTTGAAAATTACCCATGCTGATATCCCATTTACCAAAAAATACCATGTTAATGATTTTCTGTCAGTGCATTTTAAAAAAACAATAGTATTTTTAAAAGGAGGTTCACTATTGAAAATCTTTAATTCATATGAACTTTTTCTGTCTTTCTGCAACAATTGTCTCTAGTTTTCGGGAGCTAACATTTGATTTTTTTTGGGGGGAGGGGGGAGGGGGGGGGGGGGGAGTGGGGCTTGTATGAAATTAAAAAAAATGGCAGGACAGGAGTTTTGAATAAAAAAAAAGGCAGGATAACAATTTAAAAAAAAGTGTGAAAAATAAAAAGGTAGGACAGAGATCACAACTAAAAGAATAAGGCAGGACAATTTTTTTCATCCCAGCCCCCCTAAAAATTAGATGGTAGCTTCCTTAGTGTCTACTTGTCCTTTTCATAATTAGTTTATTTTTTTAGTCCCTTCTTTCCCGATATATTTTCTTTCTTCTCGATTGAAGTTTTTTTGCATTTGTTGTACGAAACTGCTGAGGTTATTTAACCGTTATGGCTATGCATCATAAGGGTTGATTGTAAAGATGATTCGTATATATACATGTATTATTGGTACATAAATCTGGAAGTTACTTATCTCGTTTGAATTGTTTAACATTTGTCATTTTTGGGTCTTTACAGCTTACTACATTTTTTTATGTACTATGTGGCGTGGATTATCTCATTGTTGAAGGCCGTACGGTTACCTATAGATGTTAACTTCTATGTAATTTGGTCTCTGGTTTTAAGTATTCTCATTGGCAATCATACCACATATTTTAATTTTAATATATTTTAAGTATTCTATAATTATTCTTACCTCGGAGTGCAAAACATGAAATCTTCTCTTTAAGATTCTAAAGTCCTTTCAATAATGGATCTTGTGCTGGAGTGTGCTCTATTAAATCTTTGCTAGTGTCTTTCTCTGGGATTTGGATAGGGTGTCATGAGAAAAGGGCGACATGCATACCCGCTATCTCCGAGGATCAAACCGTCTGCAAGTCCTCTGTTGTTTGTCTCCAGGTACTGACACAGGTTTGAGGTGTTGAAGATGTGGGAATCAAGGGTTGACCCTGGCCAGTTAGCACATATATTGGCAAACTTCCCTGAAAATATATTAAATTACTTTAATTTTATTAGGAGTACTAATTTAATGTTTGAGTTAACTGCAGCTTGAATAAAGGTCAGTATATGGTTACTTGTGACAAATAACGAAGGAAACGTACGTATTTTTTTCCTGAAAACAATTTTGAACATACATAAATTATAAAATTATTGAATATACTGATAGGTTAAATCAAATCATCATGGAATAAACGTTAAAAAAATACCGGAACAGTAACATGAGTAATATGCTTTCCTTCTTAAACATTGTATAGATTAGAAATAGTACATATGATTTAAGTGGCACATATGACAATGTTTGGGTCCCTTCACAGGTGCGCGTTCTAATTAAAAAATATAGCATACAATGCCCCCACCCCAACCCCAAAGCCTAACCATACTTTATAAATTGTATAACCATTTGTTAATATTACTCAAAACTTTTCAACGTACACATGTATTTATACACATTTTTCTGCTAATGAGAGTATAGTTTTAAAAAAGGAACTTTGAACGTACAAAATAAAAAAAAAACCGTTATTTTCATTTATTGAGGGGTAAACAGGGGTCCCTGATTCACACTTCCCTATCCCCTTACTCCTGGACAAAAATCGATCAAAATATTTTCCTATGTTCCCTCACCCTGTCCCCCCCATCTTATAAGCTTCAGATTCCGATATCTGCATCGCCTTTGAATGCAAAATATGCAGATGAACATTTGGGGTGAGGGTCGTCATTTTACAACTCCATTTAAGGAATAAGCATTCTAAATTTAGTTATCGAGGTCATCGTCGATCGATCACTAATAATAATATGTGGGTCGTATAACATCGAGTGCCAAGTTGTTCGTTTACTGACGAGAAAGATTAAGGGAGATAATAATAAAGGTAAACAAATAAACAGACGAAGAGGAGATCAGAGATACATAAGATTACTAAATTAAATAAGTACCTTCGTAATCACACACAGCCTGCACGTTCACACTATGGTACCCCTTCCTGTTGACAAAAGTTGCCTCATCCTCTGATGGCCCTTGTATCTTGACGTGCGTGCAATCAATGCATCCCAAAACATTTGGAAAGTTCATTTGTCTGTGGAAACCACACTTCATTCTGTTTATAGAATTAATGTCTTTTGGCCACTGGATGAAGTTGACTTTAACATCGGGCAACGCATTAGTTACATCATTCACTGCTCTAGATACAGTTGCTTTATCGTACCCCATCGTATCTCCAATCACTTGTAAGAATGACCCAGAGGCATAAAACCTCAAGGCTATGCATACTTGTTATTCCACTGTTAAAACAGTTTCCTTTGTTGTGGATTTCCTCAATGTATCTCTCACAATATAACATATGTAGGCTATAGAGTGTCTTCCAAACCTATATCTTGTCCTCATTTCAGTATCTGCCAAAATTATTTAGATGAGAAACCATTCTCTCTTTTCTGTGCCTAGGTACCACCAACAGAGCAGCCATTTTATAAATTATAACCCTTCGTTAAGTATCAGCGGGTTTACACGTTTTAATAGGTACCAACCTTCGCCCTTATCTGAAACAATAGTGTAACATCACCAAATAATTGTATTTTAAATGTTTAACACGATTTCTAAACTGTAACGATTCCACTCTGATTTTATTTATTGTTTATATCTAATTCGATTTGAAGTTTTGTATTATTACTAATACATATAAAGTTTCTCTACCCATTGGTGGCCTTTGGCTGTTTTATGCTTTTTGGTCGGGTTGTTGTCTCTTTGACACATATCCGGTTCCGTTCTCAATTTTAATATCTATCTATTCAGCTTGATCATTTAATGTGAAAAGAGGCGTTAGATAATTGCCAATGAGACAACTACCAAAAGGTCAAAGCAATATCACTCCGCAATGAGTAACACTAATACAGTATAGTTAGCTATTAAAGACTCCGACAACATATTTTACAACTGAATTATAATCGCCTTACTTGGAAGGGAATATATATAATGTTTCGAGTTAAGCATGTTTGTAAGCTTTGACCATTCCCTAACCTTAAACATTGGTGTAGCGTCATAACGTAATGTTCACGGTTCTACGCAACTCATATTCTCCGTCACTATAGTAACAATCACGCGTCCAACAAATTCAATGTGAAGATTTCATTCAACAATATAAGAAAGTAGATATAGGAAGATGTGGTATAAGTGTCAATGAGACAACTCTCCATCCAAGTAACAATTTATAAAAGTAAACATTATAGGTCAAGGTACGGCCTTCAACACGAAGCATTGCCCTCACCGAACAGCAAGCTATAATGGACCCCAAAAACTACTAATGTGAAACCATTCAAACGGGAAAACCAACGGTCTAATCTATATAAAACGAGAAACGAGAAACACGTATGAATTACATAAACAGACGACAACTACTGTAAATCAGATTCCTGACTCAGGACAGGTGCAAACATTTGCAGCGGGATTAAACGTTTTAATGGTACCAAACCTTCTCCATTTTCTGAAACAATAGTATAACATCACAACATAGAAAGACACACTATAAAATATCAATTGGAAGGCTTAACTCAATCAAAAATTATTAAATAATACACATTGAACGAATAAACTTGATCTGTGATACCCGAATGCAAATACATAGATAATACAAATTATAAGGGATAAATAATTAAGGTCAAAAGTAAATAAACAGGTTTAAACAAAGTTAAAGTATGATACCACTGTGAAATGTTAAAAAATATTTAGAAAATCATCACTTTTGAAAAAACCTGCTTCATATTATACACAGGTAAATGAAAATAATTTTGTTGTTAAGTATTCTTCTTCTTCTGTGTGTATAAAATCTTCCGTTTAGGAATACCAAGAAATTTCTTTAATATCAATAAAACTAATTTAACACTTGGTACATATGGGGTGAATATCAACAATAAAACTATAGAATAAGTGCTAGATAGAACTTCCTGTACAGTATTTAAGGAGAAATGAAATAATTTTGATGTTCATAGTACGAAGAAGTGAAAATTTGTAGTAATACCGAATAATCAAAGCTGGTATATAGACAAGATCCATGTTAACATTAAATAACAAAAAAGCATTACAAATAGTATCAACAGGTCAAATTAAAAAGAAAGTACAATTTGAGAGTACTCGCAGTTACTGACAGCTAGTTAAAAGCCAAAACAATTAATAATAAAACATCATGCATCAGAGACTGAAATCAACTAAAACACATCCCAGGGATTTAGTATTTTAACGTCATGAACAGTCAAAGAAGACATGACTTGTGCAATGCCAAAAATAAATAAATCGACAGGTAGTAGGATAGTTAGGAGTAACTTCTTTATAGATAAAAATGAACGTGTGTGTGTCTCTATACGCCCAGTTTGAAACGAAAATAAACATTTAGTTATCTTTTAATTTGCTAATGACAAAATCGATATTAGAGCCAAGGTAAACTATATTCAGAGATCTAATTACAACATTGGTACGATAACCCCTACTAATAAGTTTGTTTAAAGGTTCGATGAGTTTACACGGATCACATAGTGATTTCCGCGCTTAAAGTACAATATTACCGTAAAATTTAGGATGTGAAATACCATTTTTAATCAGTTTTCTACAGGTACAGCCAAATTTACTAATCCAAACTTTGTATCTATGAAAGAATTTAGTAAAAGTTTTAAGTAATTTACGGTAACGAAATCCCTGACTTAATAATTTACCAGTGATGCATTGATTACGTTAGTTAAAATCTATGACATCACTACACACACGGGCATACCGAACGAGTTGGGATATATAAACACCGTATGCTGGAGCCAAAGGCACATCGCCGTCTAAAAAAGGAAAATTAACAATAGGGAATGAAAAATTGTCTCGTTTGTCGTAAATTTTAGTATGGGGTTTCCCTTTAGAAACTGAAATGTCTAAATCTAGAAAAGGACAACTGCTGCTGTTTATGTTAGATTTAGTTAAAGTAAGTTCTTTTGGGTAAATTTCGGTGGTATATTTAGAGAACTCTGGATTTTTTAACGAAACAATATCATCCAGATAACGGTAGGTATTGTTGAATGTACCAACCAAATGTAACAATGATGTGTCTTTACTGAGTTTGGTCATAAACTGAGATTCATAGCAATACAGGAATAAATCTGCTATTACAGGGGCGCAGTTAGTGCCCATAGGAATACCTACTACCTGACGATACACTTTATCGCCGAAACGTACATATATGTTATTTAGGAGAAAATTTAAAGCTTCAATCATATCATCACATTTCCAGTCAGTGTATCTAGCATACTTTCCTTTTTCGTTACAGAAAAAGGCTTTAAACGAGTTACAGCAAATACATTTACAATGAGATTTTTCGAAAGACCATTTTATTAAATATGAAAACTTTGTCTTTGTTAGATTGTGTGGAAGTGTAGTGTAGAGAGTAGAAAAATCATAACTGTCAACAGAATTAAAAGGACCATCAAAAGCATGTATTTTATCTAAAACCCCATAAGAATTTTTAACACTCCAAAAATAATTAATACCATTATTTTCATAAGTTTTATTACAAAAGTTAATAACCAGTTATTTGATAGTAGTAAAGGAGGTAGTAAGAAGCACTGATAGATAAGTTGAAAAACACCTACTAGATGCGGAGATGAAATGTTTTTTTGTGTAATTTCGGTAACCAGTACATGGTAGAGACTTTCAAATGTTCGGAAAAGGCTTTAAGCTGGGTAATGGTAGTGATATGCTTGTTAACGATTTGACTCTCAGTGGTGCAAACAGACCTGAATGTAGAGGAATTGATAATTTCGTTTAGAAGAACTTCCGTTTAGTATATGCGCCATACCACCACTACACATGTATATTATTGGCTGCATTGTCTGCCGGTACGAACACAAGGCTTTTTTTTATATAGCCTTTTTTTCTAAACTGAATGTGCCTTTGGTATCTTTTGCCTTTCCTTTTTAAGTAAAAAACAGTGATAACAATGTAAACCACACAATGGCCTAAAACGAGAAGCAACAAAGAAACATAACCAGAAAACATCATCGAACGAACAAACAAACAATCACTTTGATTGTAACAAAAAAGAGAGCTTTGAGCAAAACAAATAATGATGCAACAACAAACTGACAGCTCAATAGTTAAAAGAAGGAAAAACAACAATCCACATAACACTAAGCAGAAATTGAAGAATGAACAACGCACAGTTTGTTCAAAGTTATACAAGCATATGCATATAAGGGACCGACTGTTTTTGAATATAGATGCACTTCATTGGAATTGTTTACCACGTAAACATGGCAAATTTAACATACCTTTCAAGCCTCTACAATTTTTTGAACTAATACTGTTGGTATATAAATATAATATAGTGAAAAGTCTTTTCCCCATTATTGTGGTGTTCGAGCATAACACCTCTAAAAGGTAAAGGCAACATTTGTGTCTGATGACATACAACGTGACATTCCATCCGTATTTAAAATATGATATACTGTATCATTTAAAACCTTTGAATGATGAAGACCTTCGTACTTTAATATAGACCTTTGAAATTTAATAAAATACGAAATTCTAACCATTTCGTCACGTCCATATAATATTTCAGAACCAAATACAAAATTGTCACATAGAGCACACAACGCAGATATCATGGTCTTCTAATATGAATCAATACAATAACATGGATCATCAAATCGTAATACACGTTTGAATTGTTTATTTGTGCTATCATAGTTTTTGTTGTTTTTTCTTTCTTTTTAATATTACAAATTTTATTCAATTATAGTAAATGCTGCGTTGGTGATTCAATAAAGGATGTTTGTTCCTCTGTTTTAAAATAAAAGGCTTTTACAAAAAACAGTTATAATTGTATTTAAAATGTTTATATTATTAATATCAGCAATTAAAATTGTTTTTGGAAATTATGGCGTCGTCAGTTTATTTTCAACTTATGAGTTTGAATGTCCCTTTGGTATCGTTCGCCTTTCTTTTTTAGTCTCTCTAGATTTTTCATACATTTAACACTACCGTATATCTTTTCTTTCAAAAATTCAAAAAACAAGATAATAAGATTTAAAACAATAATTTTTAAACTACATGCGATATATTCATGAAATGAATAGTAGAGGTAAGTAGGTCATTTTTAATGACACCATATTTATAAAATTAAGGATACAAAAATTTTGACAAAAAGTCAAAAACAAGAGTAGCGAACGCTCTTAAAATTTAGC